AACACCCAGCATGGGCCCGTCAGACACAGCACGTGCAGCTTCCAGATGTACAGCTGTCCAAACCCAGTGTGTGAACTTGGAGTTGATTTATTTAATTCTGCTTTATAATACACTTAACTTGATACCAGCTAAAAGAAATAATTTGGCAACGACATCATTAAACAGTTTAATAAGGAGTAGATGACTCATTCTGTTTGAACAAATGGATTATTTTGCAATCAGAAGTACAAATGTTATCCAACTTTATTTTTAGTTGGAAATGTCAAGAGGTCAGAAACAATTAAAACAACTGTAAGATGGGAGTCCCCGGAGTGTGTGTTCTCTTGGATTTACACCTTACTAAAATTGCTTTTATTGCAGCTTAGTGACTTAGCAACATTTTTCTGATAAGATAATGGGAAATGACTATGTAGGCACATTTACTGGCTAAGGGAGATTAGAGTCAAACAGAAATGGAACATACTTTTCATTTCAACAGAACAAGAGCTGGAAAACTGAGAGGATCTGCTTTTTCCTTGCATGATTTAAACAGTGATTGTCCTTTAAAAGGAATTCTGACCTGTGCAGGAATTTCTTATCAGCTCAAAATTCAATGTTTGAATATCAGCTACAAGCTACTTCGTGTTGCAGTTCCTCCTTTGAAAGTGTACTGTATCTAGAGAAGATGTGATTTGTCTGCACACAGCAGCAAACTGCAGCTCAGCACCAGGACTGCTGCAAGAGCGGGCACCTCAGGCGTCAGCAGGCACTGCTGTCCCAGCAAGCTGGGCACTGGCAAGGGTACAGGCAAAGCCTGGGGCAACGTGCCTTTTCCTGCTCCTGGTATCAGAGAGGGGGGATGCACAGGGACTGTGCAGCCTCACTCACCCACTCCTGGGCACCTGCAGGAGCACCACCAAACTCACTTGCAGGCCACTGCCTCCTGAGGTTCTGGTGCTTGCTCTGTGTTCTGCTCTTGTATCACCAACTCAGTTGGAAACACGCCAGTTGCTCCATGGCCATCACTGCCCGAAGTGCTTCTCGTCCCCAGCTGGAATACCTCATTGGTAACTGCATGTTCTCTGTGACAGGTCCGCATTGAAGATGATATTGCGGTGACAGCCAGCGGGATGGAGTTGCTGACGTGCGTCCCACGTACTGTGGAAGAAATAGAGGCTTTCATGGCAGAAGGCCAAGGCAGCGCCAAGTCATTTGGCTCCTTGTCCAGCCAAAAGGAGTAAGCTTCAGGTGATGCTGAATGTCCCACGCTGATCAGTCATCATTCTGATTTAACACCGCAGCATATAAGATAACATCCAATTCTTCATAGCGAGAAGAGGGCAGGCTATTAGCCAGATTGATTCATTAATTAAAAATGAAAGTAGAAGGCTTCAGCACTGGATATCCATATACCTCCGACGTCGCTGCTTTGCAGGCAGCAGTTGACAAACAAGTGCCACCTGAATAACCTTGCTACAGCAGTGATTTCTTCCAGTTAAATCTGAATTTTGATGATAGAGACTCTTTAAAATACAGGTGATCTGAATGCTGCCAGCAGTTGTAACAACCTAAGTCATTTATTAAGCTTTATCACAAGTATTGCAAAAAAGAGAAAAAAATCAGCTCTTTTCAGTGGACAAAATGACACTTATATTTTTCTTATGGATCTTGTATCAGTGACAATGGAGTAAGCAGAATGAAATTTGTATTAAAATTCATCCTTGGCATCATTTTTGTTTACAACTTGTGTTCATTAGATTCTTCTGCTGCCATTTCTACTTCTTTACCTGACTTTCTGCCAATTTGTGCTCTGGAAACACTGGCTCTTTGTTAGCCTGACTTCTGTTCTGGTTACAGGGTACATTGATCCTGCACACAGCCTCATTAAATTTGTTCATGTATTTGTTCCTTAAAATTGTAGATTGCTGTGGTGTTCAGAAGCCTTAAAACCTGCAAGAAGGAAACGTCTTCATTCCAGAGCTCTGGGTCAGTCAGAGCTGTGCTCTGCCAAACGATGGAGTTGCTTCAAACCATCTGTTGTTAGCAGCTTCAGAATTAAATCATTAATCATTAAGTTTTATATGGATAGACCACAAACATATTAATAATGATCACAAAATGACTTTATATTCATGCAGGATTTAAATTACCCACAGAATCCTTTCTTTTACTGTAGGTGAAGCCTGCAGGAGAACAAATGCTCTGCTTGCATCATAAAATAGTCCTGGTTGCTCTGACTCCATAGAAGTAGTGTTGTTTAGTGAACACGTCATGTTTATGTCTGTTGCCGATGAACACATCAAAAGCACCGTGTTGTGGCCTTATGGCCCTTGGCTGTGACCAGCTGGAGATCTGGAGTTCTTTCAGAAATGGTGAATGGTTGCTCTTTCTGCTGACCGCACTGAGCTGTGCGACACAAACCCGCTCTTCCTTTCTAGCCACTTGGTGAGCCATTGCCAAATAGGGAACTTCAAGTGGTGAAGACCAAGGAATTCGTTGTGAAATAATCCAGGGGCTTCACTCCTTCTGTTCAGTGTCACTTTGCTGAGTGATGAACCTATGTGCATTTTTTTTTTAAAGGTTGCTGGCCACGGTCTACAGGAGGTGAATGCAGGAGGTCTTGAGATGGGAAGGGATGTGAAGGAGCAGAGGTGAGGTCAGTAGCTGTGATGTGCAGCAGTGCTCCTGCTGAGCTTCAGGGTGCAAAGGCTCCTGCTCCTGAATGCACAGCATGTGCAGAGGTGCCATGCTGTGTGTTGGCAGCTGTGCAGGTGTCAAACACCACAACCTGCAAGCACACTCCGGACTTACCTGTCTCTGAACCCTGCGATGTTTTCTAGCGCTGGGCTGTGCCTGCAGCCTCAGCCCACTACCCTCTGAGTCCAAGCACAGCTGAAGCATGCTCTGAACACACTCAGACCACTGGCTGCTCTGGCCACTGAAACCTGCTGTCCCTTAGGTTCAATAGCAGTTATTGTGTTACAGTAACACTTCACAGATTAAAAAAAAAAAAAAAGTTTTGGAGTTGTTTCAACTAAGCTGTAGTCCTAACGCAGTTAATAGGCCTTTCCCTGCTATGATTAATGCTGGCGCACGGCGGCAGTGCTCCTGCAGAACAGGTCTGGCTCTGGGTGCTGTGCAGGCAGGCTGTGTCCCAGCACGCAGTGTGGGGGGGAGCGCTGCCGGCTGTGCTGCTGGGGGTTCTGCGGGGCCGGGAGCGCTGCCCTCCACAGCCAGGGACTGAACTCAACTGCTGCAGATTGTACCCTTCCTTCCAGTGCTCTGTTCTGCAGTTCTGGATAATTTCTACCCACTTATGCAAAAAGCAAGTTAGTTTTGTTGGTTTTTTTTTTTTTTAATTAGCATCTGAGGGGAGTAAGTGTTTCAAAATGGCAGAATGATATTTAATATGCTTTAAATGTGTGCGTTGGGGAGGGAATACAGGTTGTGACAAACTTTCCTTATGATTAAATTAGTATTTCTTAGGCTGTTAGCTATATTTTCCCAAATGCCTTTCTTTCCCCTCGGTGCAAACAGACTCAAATAGAGCCGCACCAAAATAACAGGAGTGCCCAGTGTTGAGCAAGCTTACATGTTTAAAAAGGTCCAAGTTGTGAATTGATAGATTTAAACCTTCAGCGCCCCAGGCTGGATGCACTTGGGGTGTATCTCTGTGCAGTGATGCTGCTGCAGTTACAGGTGTGGTGAGTGGGGCAGAGCCTCCTGGCTGCTCGGGGAAGTCAGAGTGGGAGAGTTCTTTCGCTGTTGTAAGAAAATGGGCATAATGTTTTGTGGTGAAACGTATGGCGCTTTTTCTTGTGACAGGCTCTGTGTTCTGTCACAGACCATAGCTGCTATTAAAAAGAAATGGACCAAAAGGAAAACTTTCACAGACCAACACTGAATTTTTTGAGGTGTTCATTCCAATTTTTCCTTAGGAAGAAGAGGGATATTCCAAGTTCACCATGAGAGCTCTCCTGTGCAGAATGTGAGCAAAGCCCCCATGCCTCTGCTCCCTGGGGCCAAGCTGCTCTTCTGGCAGGAGGCTCAGAATAAGCAGTTGCAAGGAAGGCGTGAACCTAACTCACACTGAGGATAGATTGAAAATAACAACTTGTCAGTCGCACACAGTCTGCACGCAAACAAAGCAGCTGCTAAGCTGGAAAAGTCATTGCACAAACAAGTAAGTTGTAACTTTGTGGTTTTGTTTCACGCAAGAAGGAAGTGGCATTGGTGCTGTCAGGTGGAGAAGTGACCTGCTGGAGCACCAGGAGTTCCTGAGTCTCCATCAGACGGTTCTACTTGCATTCAAGAGACTAAAGAAATCATTCTCCAGGAGCCAGCCTATGTACAGCAAGGTTGGAAAAAACATCATAGATTTGGGGCCCTTCTTTGGATTATCAGGAGAGGAACGCACACTGTGCTGTCAAACCATCAGCAGGGCAACAAGGCCATGTAGTTCCAACACAGAGCAAACAGAGGGGAGGGATGGGGCTCCTGCCAGAGCTGGCACCCATCTAAGAAATGAGATGCAGTCAGGTCATCTTCATCCTTATACAACAACCCTTGTACAAGGATTGTCCCCCGCCAGCCCCTCCCTCATTACCTCATTACCTTTTAATTGCAGTATACATTCAGGAAAGGATTCTTACATTTCTTTTTTTTCTTTTTTTCTTTTTTTTTTTTTTTTGTGTATGCGTGTGTGTGAGAGAGTGAGAGAGAGAAATGGGGAATTTAACCCAAATTAACTAGTTTCTTATTCTCTTCCCACTGAATAGAAACTTAAGTGGAGGACAAGAATTTGTTAAAGAATAAGCTGAAGGAGGGAAAATTTACGTTGGATATCAGGGGGAAGTTCTTTAGTATGAGAGTGGTGAGGTGCTGGAACAGGCTGCCCAGAGAGGCTGTGGTTGCTCCATCCCTAGAGGTGTTCAAGGCCAGATTGGATGAGGCCCTGGGCAGCCTGGTCTAGTATTAGATATGGAGGTTGGGGCCCTGCCTACAGCAGGGGGGTTGGAGCTTGATGATCCTTGGTGTCCCTTCCAACCCAAGCCATTCTATGATTCCACGAATGAAAACTGCTGTACTGATTTCTCAGACAGCTGCTTGAAGTGGTCACCTGTATCTGAAGGAAAGAGAAAATGGACAGGAAAAATAAGGCCAGCACTGGAGGCAAAATGTTTTTATTAGTTTCTGATATTTCAATCTTACCTAATTAAGCTGCAGCTAGAACCAAAAAACCATATATCTGTAAAAAGACTATCATAGTCCAAAACAATCCATAAAAAACTGCACCTAACTGCCTTTGTATTAAAAATTGAAATTCAGAAAGAACTTTTAAAGGCTTTATTTTCTAACAGCATCTTCATAGAGATAATATCCAAGGTTTTTCTTTTCCTAAGTACAGGTACAAGGCAAACAAGCATCCTACAAAATATGGGGAAAAGGCAGTGTAGGAGGGAAATTAAGACAGTGTAATAATCCACTAGCCAGACACACAGGTTAAATGTAACACAACCATACCATCAATGAAATACTTAAAAATGAAAATAAATTAAGGATACACCAAAGTTCCTGCTTTACTTTTGCTGTTAAAATCCTCAATATATAGTACATACCACTGCATTATGGATCATGGCAAAAACTTATCACTAGCATTTAAAAAAACTGCTATAGAAGAACTTCTATGGAAATAAGACTGAAGATACTCCTTCACACAACTGTGATGGCTATAGAAATTCTGCTGAATCGGGTGTTCAAATGAGGGCCGTTAGTTTTAAAATCACTGTGCATTTCTGTACAGGCTTGGCTGCAAATCTGAATGGCTGTGAGAATGGAAATGAACATAAGTGAGCTGAGATCCACACATTCTTGCTGTTCATATGCTGCCCTACCCCTTTTGTTGCTCAGCCAAGCTGTGTATTTTGTTCTCCCTGATACCCGCACCCCAGCAGGAATGCAGTTTTGCAGAGCATAGGTTGTTGGTAGCATTTTTACATATTCTGGAAACCAAAACATTGTTCTCCTAATGCCCCACAGTCACTGTGCAAGCCAGGAAAACATGAACACGGGCATAAAAAAAAAGCAGCCCATGTGCTGCTTTACCTCTGATACTTGGTTCAGACCACCACTTACCCTGTGGAAGCCAATTGCCTGTAAAGATCATTATAGAATGTTGCTGTTTATTTAGAAAACATTTTGAAGTACTCCAGCTTGCTATTACTGTGCCCTGCCCAGTAACCAGATAGGAAAAGCCTAAGTGGTGCTTTGCAGGAATTGCTCTGTAGGTAGAAAAGCAGTTCACCAAACAGGACAACAAACTCTCTAAAGCCTCTGCAGTTTGTAACATGTAACGGAGAAAAGAAAGGGCTTAAATGCACTAAAAGGTATTTAAAGGAATTCACCCAAATACGACTTTCTGATACTACAGTGAACCACCCTGATGAACTTCTCCCATTGTGCTAAATGTAAGAAGGTAAGTGTACATCTGTGAAATGCTATTTCCGTAATGGTAAGCTCCTTGCTGACTAAGGATTTAGATCTGCACTTATTAGACAAATCTTCTAGAAGAGAAAAATATTTAACGCCTTTAAAGAAAAACCCTAAGCAGTTTCTGGTTTAATTGTATCAAATCTTCAGTGTTAAACCTAAAAAGATCTGCACACAATGATGGTTAAAAGAACCCCTCATTTGCTCAGTTACTGCAGGGTGGTGCAGACAGGCTGCACCTCCAGAGTTCATCCCGTCAGGCTGTGGCAGTGACTACTGCCCACTGTTTTCTGCATTTGTTGTGGTGCTCTCAGTGCCAACAGGTTGCACATTGTCTGCAAGACTGTGCGCGTGCTCGAGGAATAAGTCTTTCAGTACGCTCAGCTCCTTGGTCAGGAGCTTAATTTTCGCCTCTAAACGTTCATTTTCTTCTTTGAGCTGGGTGACCCTTTGCAGTGTGTCTTGTGCTTTCTGTTTGCTTTTTAACCGGCTCTTTTTCACTGCCATGTTGTTCCGCTCTCTGCGCTGACGATACTCATCGCTGTTTCTATCCACAAAGGAATTTTTCTTTCCCTGCTTGCTCGGAGGCACAGCTTTGCCTCCACCACCAGGACTAACGGGAACCAGCTGGGGAACCTGCTGCAAACCACTGCTGTGTGCCTGGGTGTGAATCACGCTTACTCCGTTCGCATCTGTAGCGGTGTTCTGCGGGGATGTCTTGCTCATTTGGACGGGCTCTTCTTTGACACAACAGAGTATTAGAAGACTAAAAACTCTTTTCTAGATCGTGTTTCCAGCAAGTCTTCACATGGGTTAAGGGCAAGGTGAACCCTGAAGGAAAAACAAATGCTGTTAAAGGTGCTATGTTCGGCTACAGTCTTACACATCACTGCCTTTGGCAGAAGGTACCAATGGCACATCTGGCAGCAACACACCAAAACTATGCTGGAAGTGGAAAAGCTGCCAATTGCTGGGACATTTCAGAAGCCTCTCGAACATATTTGGATTGGAAGGGACTGTTACTGGGTCATCCAGTCAAGCTGTTTGCATTGTTCACTGGATTTACTCAGTTATTCCAAGCCATCCCTGATGGATGGGTGTCTAGCCTAGCCTTGAAAAATCTCGTTTCACAACCTCTGTCTTGGCAACTAGTTCCACTGTCTAACTTTTCTCCCAGTTATATAATTTTCTTAATTTCAGACCAAATTCTTTCTTCTGCAGCTTAAACCCATTAACAGCCTGACTCCTGACCAACAGGAGTGCTTGATCCTTGTCCTCTCCAAACCATCCTTCTGGGTGTATGCACATTCCTTGGTGGTCTCTGCTTTATTCTAGAGACAGTCCACCTTCCCTTGAACATCTCACAACATCTTCCAGTGCTTTCACCAGCTTTAAGATTGTTTTACTTGTTTTTGAAGATGGAGCCCAAACTGATGGTTGTTTAAAGTCTCAGCAGTGCTCAGTGCAAAAATGTATAAGAAGAGGTAGTGCATGCTGTGAAGGCTGTGACTGAACGACGCAAAAGGAAATCCTCAGCCACAAACAAGGTAAGACCAGCCAAGCCTTTACCAGTGCTGTGAGGGCAGGTGGGACAGGAAAGCAGGGTGAGAACAATGTGAGAACCACTGCACTTAAAAGACAGGGGACTGTTGCCACCTACGAGGAGACATGGGCCACAGCTGACCTGCTCACAGCACGCTTTCCGCTGTGGCTCTCAAAGCACTCACTGTCTATGCTTCTCCCCAGCAGGCTGAGGCAGGCAGCCTGAGGCAGGGACATCCTCCCACCTGGCGCTCAGTCTGCTCCCAACCCTGCTGGTGGTACAAGACTTCACTGCTGCCACTCTCCCAGGAGGACCCGTTTGGAAAGAGCAGCTGAGGCCAGCAGAACACAAGGTGAGCTGCGCAGTGCCCAGTCCAGCCTTACATCTGACAGCACAGGAGGCAGCAGTCCTGTGTGGCAATGCTCAGCAAAATTCAGGGGCTCCTCAGCTGCATGCTGCTCCTGTATAAGTTTTCCACCACAGCTTAAGTGCCATTTTACATTCTGCTGGGTTATCATTAATGAGATTAAAATGTTAACTGTCAATTGCACATTTTCTTTCACAGTCTGAGGAAGCCTAACTAGGTGCAGCTGTACAGTATGGCTCAGTAAGATTCACAGCAGAGACCCGTCATTTGGCTTCAGTATTATTCAAAATTAACATTCTGTTGCCAAGAACTCTTTTTCCCTTAAAGCAAGTGAAAGAGGTGTGTGAGTCGTGCAAGTACAACCACACCCCTCAATAAATTGTCATATTTCCTATTTTCAGATTTCAGGACAGAGAGATGTCAGAGCAGACGTTGGATAGCATGGCCTTCAGTCCCCTCCATTTCAGCATGGCAATGCTCTCCCAGGCAGCCCAGCTAGGTCAGCACTGGGGAAATGCCACATCAACCAGCTGTGTTGTGTCCACTGCAGAAGAACAGGCAGAACTGTCCTGAAAGCATCACCAACATCTGACAAGTTCCTTCACAGCACCAGGTTCCACTTGCTATTCTCTCTATGCTATCAAAAGTATTTAATATTGTTCTAACATATGCATAAGATCTCTATCTGATGCCCCCACAATTCAAAGGAAAAAATTATGTGCTCTATTAAACTGAAATGTAATGGGATAGTTCTCAGTGAAAGAGAATGTGGGTTGAGCAGAGAAACAGAACCCAAGCGTCACATCTCCAAGCTGCTGTTAGTCCTGACACAAAGAGCACTTTGCAACAGGTCTTCCCCAGTTCCTGACCCCTGGAACTGCCCTATGCTTTGTCAACTGTTTCTTCAATGGGAAACACGCTCATCCAGCACTCGCGTGGGAGATGTGACACACGGCTCCTGTCCTGCTCCAATACTGGGTACCGTGGGGCTCCTTCACGGCTGCCACCAGGAGATTTGAAGGTATGGGATGGGGAGGGTATTGAGAAGGGGCTGTGGCAAAGCACTGTGCACCTGGGGAAGGCTGTGAGCAGATGGCTGCCAAGGCTCAATGCTCAGGTTTGTGCCACACTGACACGTTAGCTGTGGGAGGGCGACAGCATGACACGACAGGCAGCAGCTCCATGGCATCCCTTCCCACGCAGCTTCTAGCTGGCACGGGGCAGCTCCGGGCTGGTTCTGCTCAGCACTGCTGCTGCTCTAGCGGCCAGAGCTGCCCGGTTCCACTGCAGCCGCCTGCTGCCACACACCACCCAGTGCACACAATAGTGGCACTCGGGGGCTCCGCCAGCCACAGCTCCCTGGGGATTTGGAGTCTCAGGCACATCAGGCCTTTGCTTTCTTCCCCAAATTCGAAATTTCCAAACGTCTGCCTTGGCAAAAAGAAAAAAAAGTTTTAATTTGTTAAATAAATCCGGTTGGTTGGTTGCTCCACAACTCGCTTTGGGCTGCACGGCTGCTCCGTCACTGCTGCCACAGCCGGCAGCGGGACGCCGCTGGCCTTCCCTCGGAGCGCCCGCGGCCCGCGCACGTTCCTGGCGGAACGCGGCCCGACAGCGCCAGCAGCGCACGCGCTCAGGACAGCCGCCGAACCGCGCTGCCACGACGCCCGGCCAGCGCTGTCGGGACGCGGAGCATCCCCGGCTGCGGCGGCCGCTATAAAGATGAACGACTCCTAATGCAAACTTTTCGGATCTCGACGCGTTCAGCGCTCGGCCTCGGGGCGCCGCGACGGCCGCGTTCCGTCGGGGCTCCGCAGCTCCCGGCACAGCGTTACGGGGCCGCCCCTCCGCGCTGACATCAGCGCCGCCGCCCCGCCCGTTCTCCCCCCCGCCCCTCCCGCCTCGGCGCCCGCTGCCCCGGGGCGGCTCCCGGCCCTCCCCC